GTCAGTGGCAGGGGGCTTCTTCCTGCTTTCCCTTTCGCCTCCCTGCATTGTGCCTACATATGCAAATTAACCGCCATCTTGTTGGCAGTTAACTGCCAATCTTAGTTGGCAGTTAATTTGCATATAGCCCTGATTAGCCAATGAAAAGGGTAGCGTCGTATGCCAATTACCATTTTTCTCTTTTATTAGTGTAGATCTTTCTCTAATATAGATGCCATTTTAATCTAATTTATATTTTCATAATTATTTTAGCATATCTAAACAGAGATGGAACTAGATGGAACGTTTTACTGCTTTCATTTTTTTCTCCATGAAGTCAAGGATCCCTCTTTTTTAGGGAGTAAGAAATATAAAACAACAGAGACAAAATACATTATCAAGATAAAAGTGATAGAGTTCCAAAATGGCAGCCGGTAAAGTGGAAGCTACACTGACACTCTCCCAGGACCAAACTGGAATTACAACTAAAATACAGAAAAACCATCCTGAATAGTCAACTGAAGACTGGCTGGAGAGAACCTGACAACCAAGGACAGGAAGTGGAGACTGCATAGACATGGTCCTAGACGAGGCAGGCAGGGGGTCTTTTGAGAGAAGCGCCAGGGAGCTGGCTCAACAAGCAGGTGGGGAGCCCAGAGAGAGTGAAGACCCCTGAGTAAGTGCCTTTATTGGGGGTCAGGGTGGAGAATGCACCAAAAGGTGTGAGGGATTCCCCTGGTGCATTTGAATGTCACCAGGCCAGTCAGGGGAGGGCAAGAAGGGGAGCTTGTGGCAGGGACCAGCCTTATCACCCTGGTTCACCTGGTCACCCAGGCGGGCTGCTCACAGCCTGTTTGTGAGGATGTTGAGGCATCAGGAAAATATGAAGTTTTTAAATTTGCTATTAGCTTTTGTATAAAGTTCTGATGTGAACACAGTTTAAATTTCTCTTGGCTAAATACCTAGAAGTGTGATCACTGTGTTATATAGTAATGTATTTTTGATTTTATAGGAAATGCTTTCTAAAGTGGATGCACCGTTTCATTATTATCGGCAATGTATGAATATTCAGGTTGCTCTGTGTTCTCACTAGCATTTGGTATTGTTGGTATGTGTGTGTTTTTAAATTTTAACTTTCTAATGTCTTATTGTGATTTTAATTAGAATTTATCTAATGACTAATGAGGTTGAGCTTTTTTCCCTTTGCTGTTTGTATTTCTTTTTTGATAAAAATATCAATTCAATTATTTCACCCAGTGTTTTATTTGTTTTCTTATTGAGTTCGATATAATTATCAAATATCTTCTCCTTATTCTTTCATTCTCTTAGTGTAATTCACTGGAGCTAGGCGCCACCTCTGTTTGTCCAGACAGTGGTAGCTGAAGCTACTCCCCCATTTATTATTATGTAAATCCTTGCTGATGGGCTAGTCTGCCTGTTGCCAGGGGTCACCTGCCTAAGGGCTATGCTATGGGTGCATCCCAGAATCAATAAAAGCTTGGTGAGGCCTGAGCATGGAAGGAAGTCCTTCGGAACTTGCCGCCTGGTCCTTTCATTCTCTTAGTGTAATTCACAGAGCAAAAGTTTTGGTTTTGATGAAGTCCAATTTACCATTTTTAAAAATGATTTTAGTGTTGTAATTAAGAACACATTGCCTAACCAAGATTACAAAGAATTTTTCTTCTGGAAGTTTTGTAGTTTTAGATTTAAATTTCAATTTATAATACATTTTAAGTGTTGTATATAATTTGAGGTATGGGTTGAAGTTCTCTCTCTTTCTCTTTCTGCATATAGAGCTCTATTTGCTCTAGCACATTATTAGAAAAGGGGGTTTTCCCCCATTGAATTGCCTTTGTGCTTTTGTCCAAATTCAAATGTCCTTATTTTTGTAGGCTGTTCTGTTACATTGAACTGTATATCTAGACTTTTTCCAATACTATATTGTTTTCACAACATAGCTTTACTGTTTTTATTCCTATAGATTTACAGTAAGTTTTGAAATAAATTAGTATATGTTCTCTAATTTTGTGCTCTTTAAAAGTTGTTTTGGCTATTCTCGTTGTATTTGAATTAGTTTGTAGATATACCAAATTGCCTGAGATTTTGATTGGGATTATACTAAATCTAGAAATCAATGTGGTAAATGTTTCATGTGCCCTTGAGAAGAATGTGTATTTGGTTGTGATTTGGTGAAGCATTCTATAAAATGTCAATTAGGTCATGTTGCTTGACAGTGTTACTAAAGTCACCTATATCCTTAAAATAAATAAATAAATAAATAAATAAATAAATAAGGTAAGTGCCTAATATTTCGATGATTTCTTCACTAAATTTAATAAACTAAAATAAAAGGTAGTACTCAGACCAAGAACTATCACATTGTAGCTGAATATTTTATGAAGATTACTTTTCACAGTAATGTAATTAACATTTATAGTGCACCTGCAGCACTCACACTGATCTGAGCTCTCTGTTTTTTGAGTCAAACAACATCACTGATCTTATAAGTCAACAAAAGATAGTATTTTCACTGTCTGTAAACTGGGGGAGTAGAAGGATTGCATTTAACTGCTTTATTTGATTCTATGAGCCAGTGGCTTGGAACTAGGTGGCAGTGGTGAGGGTTTACCAGAATTACATGGACAACTTTCTCAAACTAAAACATCCATTTCTCTCATAAGTCTCCTCTAGATTTGTCTATCTTGGGGAGCCCAGATGGTTCTCCTGCTGAGGTAGTTGGTCTATGACCATAGACTTTATCTAATTCTCCTTCTAGAAATGCTATCTTCCATGTTCTTAAACCCACCATTGATTCCTAAAGTTGCCCCAGAACATTGCCAACAGCAAACTACATTAGTTCTTGCTGCTTTCAGCCTATTTTTCTTTACATTTTGCAATAACATGGAACTTGGTGAACCTTGGACAAAATAGGTCTACAATGTTACTTTCCTTCTCTATTTGTTGTTTGTTTGTTTCTTTGTTTTTTAACCCAGAAAAGAATATCAATGGATAATGTATGCCTTGACTATGGGAAAGAACTAAAATGTATTCATCTTTCATGAATGAAGATATTTAAACATCCTTAAGAGAATTATGGTTTACCAAGTACACCTCAATCCTTTTCTATCCTGAAATCAAAGACAAACTTGACTCTTTTCTGACCAACATTCTCTTGGACCCTATGTGCATATATTATAGCCATCTGGTTCTTCTCATCCTGGGTGATCTCCAGGCATAAGAAGAATACTGTAGATAAATAGATCATGATCCAATTGGACTCACCCACTCGGAACTCTAGGACATCAAACTGACAGTCTTGGTGACTTTCTAGGTAAAAATCCTCAAAGTGAATGTAAATGGATGAATTTCCCTGATTCGGATTGCTGAGAGTCCATTCACAGTTTAGGTTTCTTGAGTAATTGCTGACTCCATTATAGCCAGGAGAAGTAAAGTTTCCTTCCGGGGAACTGGTAAGGGCCCCACCACACACTGAAGACACAAAAGGCAACAGAGAAAATAGTAAAACTCATTCCATAACAGAAGACACAAACAATATAGGAGCAATCAGTAACATAACAGCAGCAACATTTTTTACTTTTATTTTTCTTTTCTAGGTGAAGTGAAGTCTGTGGGTAAACAGCTGGCTCATGCATGCAAACTATGGGAGAACTTTCTGTGGGTTTAGAACAAAATGATTGCAAAAATGAGCAGTTTCTTTTTTTTCCTGTAGTTGAATAAGTGGGTAGGGTTTGGCTCTGCATCAATATCTTCTCATTTTGGGCCTACTGCTCATTAATATTTAATTTAGAGGAATACTGAAATATAACCGTGGTCATGGTCTCAATGGCTTCTCAATTCTCCACTTGATCCAATAAATTTAATTGGATCAACAGATCATATAACATTATAGTGCCAATAAATTGATCCTTTAAATAGGAAATAAAGACTTCATATATCAATAACTTAAAGTCTTTTAATATGTAGTTCAAATTTTTCTAAATTTAAAACGTCTTAGATAATAACATAAATCCAGAGAGTAGGAGGATATTTAGAATGGAAAGGCCATTTCCTGCTTAATTTTCAAATACTCTGCGTCAAATGTGAACTCCTCATTCATTTACGCTGGAAATGTGTATAAGGATGGATTACTAAGAAACAGTAAACTATCTCTGTCTTAAACTAATGTAGATACTTTCTGGAAGGGAATTACCTTCTATCTAAGAGGAAGATGGTCTCCTAGCACAAAAGAATGACAGAGGACTGCAGGACTGAAAACCAGCTATAATCATGGAATTGAGCTAGCACCTCTTCTAACAGCATTTTTTAAAGTTTTAATCCACAATGGCAGTCTTCTTTCCAAAACCAAAGGAATTTTTATTTTTTAAATTTTTATCCATCATGGGTTTTCTATCTGGTTATGCATGTCTGTCTACGTAGAAGATCCTTGCTGTAACTTTAATCACTGAGGTTGAAGTAGATGGCTCTGCTGCTGTGGGCAGTAGCTGCGAGGACATCTGCACGCATATGTATTTAGAACACCCTGTATTACCTGCATCTTCACTGGATGTGTAGGAAGCACTGAAGCCTCCATATGGCCTGGACCCATCAGTGAAATAAATGACTTTCATTGTATTTCCTGAAGATTTGATCTCATCACTTATATTCACACTGCTACACAGCTTCCCGAGCACGGGTGAGTTACTTCTAATGCCATTGAACACCTGTTAGAAAAACAGTTTAACCTTTAGACACACAGTCCATCTTACTGAGTGCTTTTTAGGAGGTTATATTTCCAGCCCAGAAACACTTCCTTCTAAGGAAACTGTGCTAAAATGAATTAACAATTCGGGCTCCTAGCCCAGTGCCACAAACCACTGTGTTACCCAGAGCACATTTTGTGGCCTCAGGGTCATTTCACTAAATGAAAATACAGCAGCAATGCCCTCCTGCCATGTGGTGACAAATGAAAAACTGTTGTACTCTTTGCAACAGGAAACTGTGCTCTAAATGTAAAGTAATATGCCAACGTGCTTACATCTCAGCTCACAGAGTTTACTGCTGGGCAGTTTTTCATAACAATGCATCAGGACCTTTGATATTGAGGATGAAGGCTGAAATGTTTGTCTCTGATGATGTAAAGAATGAAATCAAATATTTTAAATGCCTTGAAAAGTAATTTAAAACGTCAATCTCATTATCAATTGTTCTTTCCTAATTACTAATGGATTCAAGCTTCAATTCTCTTAACAATTCGAATTTTAAAAAGTTGATTAGAGTAACGGTGACTCCAACATATTAAACAATAACTCTAGTTATGCACATATTTATAATAATTGGCAAAGTATGATTTAGCATTCTTGGTTTTTACAGTTCAAAGACGGTCAAGAAGTAACTACACAATAATTGAATGAGTGATTGTTTGACATTCCTTTTTTTTTTCTTTTTTTTTTTAGAAAGGATTTGAATGGCTCACAATTAAACATAACGTGCCAGAAAATGACACTAAGAGCTATGGAGAAAGAGAATGTACTCCATCACAAAAATATAAGCTTTTTTATTTACTATAATTGATTATTAAATTTAGCTCCTTTCTTTTCTTCCTCTCTCTCTCGCCCCTCTCACCCTCCCCTTTTCTTCCTTCCTTCCTTTTTTTTTTCCTTTCTCTCTGAGAAATTCTCAAATAAATAAAGGGTGAGCAAAGGGCAGCCCAATCCCCTTGTTTGCAGTAGAGTGAAGAACAAACAAAACAAACCTCGAATCTATAAAAATATATCGCAAAGGAAAGGAATGTGGACATCAGATGAAAAATTCAGAAATTAATTCTGAAGGTGTTTCTTTGTTGGAGTTTTAACCTCTCCAGGAGAAATGACCTATAGATATGACATCTGTAGTTTTCTCAAATTAAATAGTCATCTCCCCACTTGTCACCACCCATGAAGCACACAAATGTACAACCCCAGTCATGCACACAGAGCTTCCCATTAGGCGTTTAGTACTTCATTATTAAATAGAAATGAACAGCCAAGGTTACCAGACACTTAGGGAAACATGGCAAAGGCAGAGACAAATATATGTAAATAGGAAACCGGAACTTAAAGGAAATTGGCCACAAAAAGAGGAAAATACTTCAAAATTATGATTAATATATTCATATATTAATATATTGAACACATGTGATATTTTTAAATATGTAATACGTTGAAAGACTAAGGATAAAGTAAGTACAATTCTAGGTATACACATTCTTAAAACTTTGTCACTCATCTCCACTTCCTTAAGAAGCTGCAAGAGCATATGCCTCACTAAACAGAGAAACTTAACCAGAAAAGGGAAATGCACATGTCATACAGCCAGGCCTCCAGCCAGAAGAGAAAGAAGGGACTTGGACATTTGGTGAAGGGAAATCCCAACATGACAGCCGGCATCAGGCTAGCAGAACAAGGCTCACGGAGAACTATTGCTAGGATATTGCTTACTTCATTATATAAGGTGGGGACATATGTCTGGAGTGGAAAGTGTGTGAATGAATTAGTGATAGATACATAGAAAACCAAGAAAATGTACAAAGGGCACTACTAGTATTATTACAAAAAAACAAAAGCAAACGCTATCATAGTACACTACCTAGCTTCATTGCTAACGGTGTTTACATAATCATAATAATGTAAATATTAAATAACAATTTAAACAAAATCTGTGATCTAAGTATTTTTGGAGGAAGTTGGGGGAGTATGTGAAATGTGCACACCACTGTGTGCATTTGTGGTGGTGGTAGGGGCTGGTTTGTGAAGAGAGCTAAATCTCATTGTCCATAGCTGGGCTTAAAGAGATAATGTATAAGACTCCAAAATAAAGAAGTAGCAAAATAGGAATATTATTTTTAAATAATGACAGAAATTCCTCAAGAAGTAGACAACAGAGTTGAGAGTGGATGCCTTTGGCATATATGATTCAGAGATGGGGAAATGACAAAACATAATTCAGAATTTGTGGCTATCACTGTGAATTTTATTGTAATTATTTGAGTTCTAAAGCTAGAATTATTCATATTATCTTTCCTGCAGGGCATGTGGATATTCTGTTGGTAAGGTTCTTAATAATCATTATATTCAATTTGATCTCAACTATGAAAACCATTTCAAAGGAAAAACCACCAGCATACACGTCAAAATTTTAATGAGTGTGTAGAATTCCAAGTATTTTATATTTTTTATTTTTCTGAACTCTCCTAATTTTGGTCAATAAGCATCCATTGCATTTGCAATCAGAAAAAAATAGATTAAAATTAGTATACAAATGAATTTATGAAATATGGTACTTTTTTTCAGATAGCAGAACTCGGCAAAATTTTAAGTTTGAATGTAATCATTTTGGGGTAATAAAAAGTGGTGGATACATACAAAGATGTTTCATATTTTTGAAACTCACTATCCAACAGGAGACAATTAAATGGAAAACAAAAGTGGCTTATTTTTAAAATGAATAATGATAGTACTTCCATTTATTCATTCAACAACTATGAACTGGGCAGCCATCTAGACAAAGGCAGTAGTGCATGCGAAGTGAGTTGGGAGTGTGTGTGTGTGGGGGGGGGAGGTCCGGGAGGGGGTTCTTAGCATATTCAATGAACTGAAAAGAGGCCAATGAGCAAAAGGGGAAGGGAGTGTGAGATAAGGTGCAGAGGTAGGAAAGGAAGGGGCAAAAGTAATGTAGGGCCAGTGGTCTATTATAAGGATTTGGGATTTTCCATTAGAAGATTTTCAATGAAACAACATGATATGATTTACATTTAAACCTATCACCCTGGCTGCTGTGTTGAGAATGCAGGGCGACAGGGTGGAAGTTATTAAAATGAATCTGAGTGAGTGGTGATAGTAATAATAATGGATATGATTCAATGAAAGCAACATGATATGATTTACATTTAAACCTATGATAGTACTTCCATTTATTCATTCAACAACTTTTGTCCTTTTTATGTGCCAGGCACTGGGCATTGGGCATTGAAGGAGGCCAAATGCGTGTCCTAAGGGAGCGCGTATCCTGGTTGGGGGAGCAGACAGTTAGCAGGAAGCAAATAAATGTGGACTATCAGGTGGTCTGAAGTGCTGTGAAAGCAGTAATATCACCCTGGCTGCTGTGTTGAGAATGCAGGGAGATAGGGTGGAAGTTATTAAAATAAATCTAAGTGAGTGGTGATAGTAATAATAATGGATATGATGAAAAGTAGTTTGATTCTGGATCTTTTAAAAACATACAGCCAATGGTACTTGCTTATGGATGTAACAAGGTGTGAGAGAAAGGTATCCAAAACAGACATCAAGGTTTTTGACTTGAGCAATCAGGAGTTTGGAATTATTATTTACTGAGATAACAAAGCCTGAAGAAAGGACAAGTTGGGTAGGAAAATACACTTATATTAATCTGCAATCCATACAGAATATGCATATAGATCAGTGATTT